TGTTTTGTTTGCGTTATATCGATTTATATTAATAATCGATAATCGTAACTCAAGTTGATCCATGGCTTAAATACTTTAAGCTATGGGCTGATCCAAACATCAAAAACAATACAAACTGTGAAACGACTAACGTTTAAACGTTGTCTAGTACTCTAGTCTCTAGTGGCATTGTGGCAACTATAAACCTATTCTATAGATATTCGATTTTTGTTTGTTATTTCTTTCATAGTAGTTTGTTGTATTCTGAAAATGCCAAATAAAATTTGTTATTTTCATTGTAACAAATCAGAGAAACTCTCAGTTTTTAATATCCCYAAAGATAAATATTTGAAGGAAAAATGGCTGCAGTCTTTAGGGATAGATCATTTTAGCCCTAACGAGGTTATTTGTGAAAAACATTTTCGGGATGACTTAATAATTAGATCAAAGGATATTGTTGACAATTTAGGAAATGGTATTTTTTCAGTAAGTACCAATAGAAATGGTATAGTGTATTATAATAGACCAAAACGCCAAGGACCTAGCTGAAATTTTGCTCTGGTTTAGCAAAATATACAGCACATAAAAAAGTAACAATTCTGTATTGACATTGAAKTTTGGATTTATATAAACCATTTTAATAATATATTATTATAATACTTATTTCTTTATATGAAATATGCATTTTGTTTGTATTTTATACTTCTTATTGCAATTATAACCAATGCAAGTTTTATATTTATATTTAGGCTCCACGTTTAAGACCTTGTTTGAAATCTAWTGCAATACCTCATTTATTATCATCCCGAAAAAGATTAAAATTTGATGATAATCGAGAAAACCATCAAGTAAATTTTTTTAATAATTTTTTCAATTTTTTACCTTATCTATATCAATTTTAGACTGATGAATACTGATTTAACAAATCTTTAAAATCACTAATGAGTAATGACTAATGTGCGATCACGATGAGCTAATTAATTGTTACATAATATTTAAGTATTTACTATTTAACGACGAATGATTTTTATAAGCTTTTATGCAACCGGGGCACTTGTATAGTATACTTGTCTATGGGCGCACCGGGCATGAAAATCACAATAAGTATAAACACCTATATTGTCATCCTGAGATTAATAACTTATTTTTAAAGGATTTACGACTTGGAAATTTCTTGATATTATGTATTATTTTAAATTTTCAAATATTTTATATAGAAATCAATAATATTGTATTTTGAATTGAATAAAATATAGATGTCATTATATCTAAATATGTATACACAAGCAACTAGGGACATTTCCTATCCCAAATATTTATAAAAATGAATTGCAAATTGTTTAATATGCAATTTCTTCACGTTAGGGTCACTACTCACTGGCGTACTTTAAAATACGGTCTGATTCATACGGTTCTGTGTAGGATGGTTTCGAGAATATTCCCATTAAATAAAGGTCTTGTAGTGTTGGTGAAAAATATCGTTCTGATATTAATTTTCCTGAAAACTAATTTCCCGTTTTTTACGGCCCTCCGCAGCGTGCAGTGCCTACCTGGTAGAAACTAGAAACAATGAATACGCATGCGCACAGGCCACAGACGAACTGTACTGCGCGGTGCGATTTAAAATCGTTATATACTTTTAAATAATTTTGACATTTCAATAAATTTGATTGTTCATTCGTTTTTGGAGTTCGTATCGTGTTTAAATATTTAAAATTAATAGTTTTGATTGTTAGTTTTTTATGGAGAGAATGAGTAGTTCTCCCGGTTTCCAAGTTCTCCCGGTTTCCACCTTGGAAGTTTAGACCAGTTATAACTTTATAAGCYAGGACAGTCTGTAATATTAAATATAAACTATTCATATTCACAGTTCACATAAAATTACTGCAGTCCTTTYTMATCCATTTTATGAATGTAATTTTTAATTTTTAATTATTTTTTTAAGTTTTCCTGTACATTATCTAAATTTAGGTACATAAAACTAATTTTTTTAACATTTTATAAATCTGATCACAATATGGTATAACTAGTGTGAGTTAGAACTAACATGTAACATGAAAGTAATAATGATATACATAATATTCCAAAAATTATTTTAACATTAATATCATATTGTAAACCAACYAGGGATTAAATTTATTATTATCAACATAGAGTGTCATCAATGGCTCCTTTCATCAAAATCTCATGACCTGTCAACTTTTATATAATATTCTTATTGTGTCAAGTATAATTAATGATACAGATTGTTTATTTCTTGTTAAAATAAAAATATGTTTTAAATAAACGTCAATACGCCATGTGTCCGTGTATAAAGTGTAACAACACAAATAAAAAGAAAAGAAAAACAATTAATTACATTTTGATTGAATATTACTCTCATTATATTTGACTTGGTTTGTCATTTCGTTTAATTATTATACTATAAATAATTATAGTTTCTACTATTTTTTGATATTCAATCGAGATAGTCAATAATAAAATAATGAAATATTACGTTGATATTAATATCTTTGTTATTATTTTAAACCTTGGTGTTCGGTGACATGTGTCATTGGGCAAACGTGATCATAATTCGTAATATTACAAAAGTAATTATTCAGTAAGACTCGTACGAACACCACCAACATATTATTTTCCTCCACGTTTTTACGATATGTGTTTCGAAACTCAACTAGAAATTGGAAGAACAAATAATACTCGTGAAAGATGATTTGAGAATATTCAATATAAGTAGTATCAGCGATTATACATTTGTCATTTATCAATATTCAATGATTCTATGTTTAATTATTATTTATTTGTACTAATTCGATATACATGTATAGATGGCATTATAAAATATGGGTGTTGACCAGTTGCCCCCCACGGCTGTTATCGGAATTTTAATAATATACCAGTTGCCCTCAACCAAATATACCAGTTGCCCCCAACCGAATGTACCATTTGCCCTCACATGTTAATATACAGGGTGATTTTTTAAGCATGCTCGCCCCATTTTTATGCTTAAATTATGTATATATTCAAATTTTGATTTTTGGAATATTTAAGTGTAGTTAAAGGCGATATTTTTGAGTACTTAGATTTTTCACAACTTTTAAGGAGTATCCTGTACCGATACCAACTTTGGTTTTTCA